CCAACTGATGATGTTATGTTATTGGAGGACATGTTCAAATGTCACAAAATCTTCAAAATAAAAGAAAGAAAGAAAGAAAGAAAGCAAGAAAAGAATAAAGTCTTGATTTAAGTCTGTTATTTTATAGTTAAAAGTTCAACTGAAGTCAGTTGAAGTCAAAAGACCTGGAAACGCTGAGCAATCAGAGCAGACTGGGCGTTTTCTGTAGGAGGGCTTAAAGAGACAGGCCCTAAAACAGCGTGTCACAGACAGAGGTTAAATACAGGTGTTTCAGCTCAGAAATTATGAGGGAAATTCTGCTTTTGAACTTTAAACATATAAAACATGTTCCAGTAGAAACCAAAAATTTAAGTACGAACCTGAAAATGAGCAAAATAAGTTCCCTTTAAAGAGTAAAAAGCAGCTGAGAAGAAACACAGTGCTCGTGTTGTCATTGCTTTCAGAGACTGTTCTTAGTTGTGGCAAGAACAAGACCAGTTTCAGAAAGTCCCTCTCTGTGGAGCCATATGTTAATGCAAACCCTTTGGCTCTACAGGAAGCAGAGTGAAAGAGACTCAAGAGCAGCATATATGAGTGATGTCACACCTCTCCTCATCATCCCTGCATGAGATGTGATCACAATGTACAACAAAAACATAATTGAAACATCTCATCTCTGGAGGTTCAGCTGAGTCAGGGATTTACTTCCTGTGAATTTGAATCCTTATTTGCAAGAAACCATCACAGATAGCTTCATAAATGCAAAGGGGCAAGAAGAGGCTAGCTTGGGGTTTTGTTTCCTCAGATATAGAATTGTTTGTATACTCGGTCAGTCAATATGGTATTTGTGAATCTCAGATCTTCCTATAATTAGCTACACATTAAGGCCCCTATTACATAGAAAGTGTTTTAACAATCATAGGCGGCTTTTTGTAATAATTTTTAATGAAAATGAAGCTTTTTGCTCATGTTTTTTTCTTTGCTTTGTGACGCGCCTCACAATTCTGCGTTGAAAAACTTAAACTCAGAGCAGAAAAGCACCACATGTCATCTCTTTTTTCCATCTTCTTTTATCCCATTGTCCAGTCAGATGATTTGAGAAACAAGTTTACAGTTGGTAAACAATGGAGGAGAAACTGGTGTTAGCAGTTGTAGGATACCCAGAGCCATACAGCCTGACAATGGGCAGCAGGTTGTCAAATTTCCCCCCGAGTCATCCTAAAAAATGCCTGAAAACAGAAATGGCCATCATGGAGGTGAAGCTCCTGGACCAGCTGGTGGTACCCCCCATCATCCACCCTCTTTTTTAGGGTCTCATGTGCCCACACAGATCTCTGTTTCCCTGTGCCCAAAGAAATACTTGCCTCACACCCTCAACCAGAGCTACAGCAAGTACCTTCTGCCTTTCCATTTTTGTACATAGCTACCAATTACTGTGGAAAAAAAACAGTAGATTGACTACACGGGAGAGTCAGTGTAAGGACAAGATGGGGTGGTTGCCTGGCAACAATAAAAAGACACAGCAAGCTTTTTATTTATTTTTTTTTTTTTTAACTAGTGGCATTCAGTTAAAAAAAGGCAGTGCAGTGTACCTCGCTTTTTGCAACATGTGAAACGCTTTCAGTGTGATTGGGGTTTAACACACCATGGGTTTAATTAGCTGGAAGTGGATGTCGACTTGCTCCATCCAGGTAGAATTCAGTTTCCCATGGCCCTGCGCTTCAAATTACGTAGCTCTAGGTACCCCTTTAGCATTAGTTTTGGACACTCGGGGACAGCACATCAATTTCAATGCATAGTGTCTTTTCAAAATAAACTTCTTGTTCACAGGAAACAGGATCATGGTTTGGTTTGGGCTAAAATGACATTCATTACATACATACAATAAAAGTAAGGTATTGACCAGGGGTTGACCATGTCACATGACCCTGTTACCATGTTAAAAAAATAAATAAATAAATAATTGATGTTCCACACAGGACACAACAGCAGTCTCCGGCGTGAAAGCCTGTGTTAGTTTGACCAATCTGGCACCCTCTGTCCCTCCCTACTTTGACTTTCTTGGGTCTTTAAAGTACGTTATTGCAGGGGATGGGTTTACACTGAAGTTAATTAAAAGCCCAGTGCATCTCATACAGACAGTAAAGGGCGCCTTGTGTATCAGAATCAGATGCTTGGTAGGAAACGCAGCGATGTCTCGGTAAAAAACAACCTATTTTCAGGGCACACACTAGCTCAACTGATAGAACAGGTGCCCCATGTACAAAGGCTGTCTCTTTGCCGCAGCGGTAGAGGGTTCAATTACAACCTATGACCCTTAGCTGCATTTAATCCCCCCTCTCTCTGGCCCTTACTAGCTATACCTGGCCCATCAAATAAAAGCAAAAAGCCCCCAGAAATATCTTTAAAAAAATTTCATGGCACTATCCTAGCAGGAAACATAGCAATATCTCAGTAAAAAACAAATGTTTTTTCATGGCACTATCCCTGGTGAAAACATAGCCACAGGTCGCCAAATAAAACTCACATTTGGTAGATCAACAGACACTGGAAACACAGCGATGACTCAGTGAAAAACAACCAGTTTTGTGGTTTGTTGGTCTCAAACAATAGTCTGCGACTTGGCAGCTGTCCACCATCATCTCCATTTCCTAATGACAAAGTCAGTTCATATACTACATCACTTTAGAAATGTTGATATGATACGTGTGAAACATACAACGCCAGGCATTTGGGCTGTTATTTGAACTGTTGAAATGTTCTCCTTTAGTGTACCTATTCTTTATACAGTATACCATACAGCACTGCAGTCTGAATCAACCTCTCCTCCTAAATACAAAACCCACAATGAAACCATATTAAGGTAAAAATTAAATTAAGCAAGTTTTGGATAAATATAAACAAATACCTGAGAGTCAAATTCATAGCAACACACAACACGTAGTTCCAAAAGAATCCGAATGAGATCCAAAACACATCCTGAAGTCATTCGGCTTTAACAAGATTGTTTAGTCATTCATGGAGTGTTAATAGTGTTGTAAATGTAAACGTGTATCAACAAAACAGACTTTTAACTAGAGGTTCCTCAGCTAGAAACCTGTTCACAGCCGGGTCACTGATATTTCATGGCTTTTGTCTCACACTTCAGCAGAGCAGTCACAGTCTTAATCCAATTACAGCCATTTCCCAGAAGTCCCAAAACCCCCATAAAGCCATCAGACCTCATTTCACACAGGTCACCTCACAAACAGAAGAGTGAGGACCTGACTGCTAGAGTTTCACACAGAGTAAAGTAAAAAAAAGCTCTCAGTCAGTTTTGCAATTCTGCAGATGGGTGAGTGGGTGAAGATCTACTGACAAGTTATACGCTCTTCAGAGTTTTTGTTCCTCCGGTGACCAGGATGGATGACAACTGTGCATGTTTCTAACAGTGCAGTCAGACCTGTACCCGTACCACAGACTTAAGTGTAACTTTGGTATGTTTGAACCAGGACCCTGCCTTCCCATGTTTTTGTATCTAAGTAATGGAGCAGTTTTTAAAATTGTTCCAGCATTGAGCAAGAACAGGCATTGTAGCCTCTCCAGGCCTTTGCACCCTCAATCCACTGAAAATGCTTGTGTTTGCCACAGACAGTCTCAGATTGTTATTCTAAGTGTTTTGCAACATTATGGAAAGGATCCCTACAGAGACAGACCTTAACCAGAAACATCCCCATTGCCAAACCAGCCAGACTCCATTTAAATAAACAGTGATTTTAGCATGTATAGAGGCAGCACATGATCACATCTAACTGGGTGAATTAAGGGTTAACAAAAAGGTCTGTCACTGTATGGATCCTTTCTATAATGTTGTCAGACACGTGCAATATTGAACTGTCAGTGGCAAAAACAAGCCCTTTTAGTGGACGTACTGTACATTGATTGTCGCACATGCCCTGAGTAGTTCCTCTGCAGGATGTTTGCCACTGCAGCCCTTTTACCCAATACTGGACGAATTTAAAAAACTGTTGTTCCCATTAGTCACGTAAGCTGAAAACACACCAGCACCACCGTGGTGCGGCACATCATGCGACATGCATCAAGTGCCGCCCCTAGCACACAGTGGACACGTTGCGCTTCAGCTTGTTAACAGATGACCATGCAAAGCTATTACTACTTTTCCTTAAAGATCTGTACTTCCTCCACCTCTGCATTAGCTTAAAATCCTGTGTGGACACCTATTGCTTAAACGTGATTTCTCTGTGTACAAAATCTTTTTGGCCAGTGTCTTCATAATGACGGGATTGGGGGTCGTTTAGCTTGAGCTAATTTTTGACCTCAACAACAAGTCTCTCCTCAACAATTCTTTGTCACATACAGTACAGGCCAAAAGTTTGGACACACCTTCTCATTCAATGCGTTTTCTTTATTTTCATGACTATTTACATTGTAGATTCTCACTGAAGGCATCAAAACTATGAATGAACACATGTGGAGTTATGTACTTAACAAAAAAAGGTGAAATAACTGAAAACATGTTTTATATTCTAGTTTCTTCAAAATAGCCACCCTTTGCTCTGATTACTGCTTTGCACACTCTTGGCATTCTCTCCATGAGCTTCAAGAGGTAGTCACCTGAAATGGTTTTCCAACAGTCTTGAAGGAGTTCCCAGAGGTGTTTAGCACTTGTTGGCCCCTTTGCCTTCACTCTGCCGTCCAGCTCACCCCAAACCATCTCGATTGGGTTCAGGTCCGGTGACTGTGGAGGCGAGACACTGGACTCACGTGCTGACGTATTGCGGTAAGCGAGTTGTGTCATTTCCGGTGTTTCTGTGACAGTGTCTCTGTACTGCTCTGGTGAATTCTGCTAGCCTGCTTTCTCACCTCAGTTGCTTTAACGCTGCTTTAACGTCTACTTCAAGTCATAACCCACACTGGTTCTGTTTAAGCACTTATAGCTCTCCTTCTTTCTACGACTTTCTCGCTAATCTCTTAGCTGTTGTTTGCACGCTCTTAGCCTTGTTAGCTACTTTAGCTTAGCCATGGCTTCTCCTTCTCCTGCTCTTTCTTGCCCGGTGTGCCAAATGTTCAGTTATGCCTCTGCCTCCTTTAGCGACAGTGGTAATTGTAATAAGTGTAGCTTATTTGCTGCGTTGGAGGCGAGGCTTAGTGAATTAGAAGCGCGGCTCCGCACCATGGAAAACCATTCAGTAGCTGCGGTAGTTAGCCAGCCCCCTGTAGCCGGTGCGGAGCCACATAGCATAGCCTTAGCCTCAGCTAACTGTCCTCCGGTAACTCCCGTTCAGCCGGGAGGTTGGGTTACGGTTCGCCAGAAGCACAGCTCCAAGCAGAAGCCCACGGCTCACCACCAGCCTGTTCACGTTTCCAACCGCTTTTCCCCACTCAGCGACACACCCGCTGAGGATAAAACTCTGGTTATTGGCAGCTCTATTCTGAGGAACGTGAAGTTAGCAACACCAGCGGCCATAGTCAAATGTATCCCTGGGGCCAGAGCGGGCGACATTGAATCAAATTTAAAACTGCTGGCTAAAGCTAAACGTAGATTCAGTAAGATTGTTATTCACGTCGGCGGCAATGACACCCGGTTACGCCAATCGGAGGTCACTAAAATTAATATTGCCTCGGTGTGTGAATATGCAAAAACGATGTCGGACTCCGTAGTTTTCTCTGGACCCCTCCCAAATCTGACCAGTGATGACATGTTTAGCCGCATGTCATCATTTAACCGCTGGCTGTCCAGGTGGTGTCCAGCAAACGATGTGGGTTTTGTTAATAATTGGCAAACTTTCTGGGGAAAACCTGGTCTTATTAGGAGAGACGGCATTCACCCCACTTTGGATGGAGCTGCTCTCATTTCTAGGAACCTGGCAAATTTTATTAGTAATTTAAATCCCTGACAACCCAGAGTTGAGACCAGGACAGAGAGTTGCAGTCCTAAACGCCTCTCTGAGCTTCTAGTTCAGTTACCCAGCCATAGTTTTCATAGTTTTATACAAACGGTGTCTGTCCCCCGACCACCTAAATTATTTAAATCTAAAATTAAACAAAGAGGAGTTGTGCATAACAACCTCATAAAAATTAAAACCTCTTCTGTGACAGAAAGACAAAACAGGAGAATTAAATGCGGACTGTTAAATATCAGGTCTCTATCGTCTAAAGCAGTGTTAGTAAACGAATTAATATCAGATAATCATATTGATTTACTCAGTCTCACTGAAACCTGGCTGTGTCAAGATGAATATGTTAGTCTAAATGAGTCCACTCCTCCCAGTCATAATAATACCCACATTCCTCGAGGCAGCGGCCGAGGAGGGGGAGTTGCAGCCATTTTTAACTCTAGTCTGTTAATCAGCCCTAAACCTAAACTAGATTATAATTCATTTGAAAGCCTCGTTCTTAGTGTTTTACATCCGACCTGGAAAACCTCGCAGCCACTTTTATTTGTTATAGTGTACCGTGCTCCTGGCCCGTATTCTGAATTTGTATCTGAATTCTCAGAGTTTTTATCCAGTTTAGTTCTTAAATCAGATAAAGTTATTATTGTAGGCGATTTTAACATTCATGTCGACGTTGATAATGACTCCCTGGCTACCGCGTTTATCTCATTAATAGACTCCATTGGCTTCAGTCAGGGTGTACATGAACCCACTCACTGTTTTAACCATACCCTCGATCTAGTTCTGACGTATGGAATTGAAATTGATAACCTAAAAGTCTTTCCACAGAATCCCTTGCTATCAGATCATTATCTGATTACTTTTGATTTCTTTTTACTCGATTACACGCCACTCAGCAACAGTTACTATACTAGATGTTTATCAGATAGTGCTGTCACAAAATTTAAGGAAAAGATTACTTCGTCGTTAAATTCAATACCAATACCTTCAGTAACAGAGGTTTCCCGTGCCGACTTTAACCTCTCCCAAATTGATCATTTTGTTGATAGCGCCGTAGGCTCGCTGCGAACAACGCTCGACTCTGTAGCTCCTCTTAAAAAGAAGTTAACAAAGCAAAGAAAGTTTGCTCCTTGGTATAACTCTCAAACCCGTAGGTTAAAACAAATATCGCGAAAATTTGAAAGGAATTGGCGATTAACCAAACTGGAAGAATCTCGTTTAATCTGGACAGACAGTCTCAAAACTTATAAGAGGGGCCTCCGCAATGCCAGAGCAAACTATTACTCAGCATTAATAGAAGAAAACAAGAACAACCCCAGGTTTCTTTTCAGCACTGTAGCCAGGCTGACTGAGAGTCAAAGCTCTATTGAGCCTTGTATTCCTTTAGCCCTTAGCAGTAATGATTTTATGAGCTTTTTTAATGACAAAATTCTAACTATTAGAGGCAAAATTCATGACCTCCTGCCCTCAGATGGTAGGCCTACCTATCTAACCTCAAACACAGCTGTAGAATCTAATATATATTTAGATTGCTTCTCCCCAATTTCTCTTCAAGAATTGACCGCAGTGATTTCTTCATCTAAATCATCAACGTGTCTCTTAGACCCCATCCCAACTAGGCTACTTAAGGAGGTCTTTCCTTTAGTTAACACTCATATATTAGATATGATCAATATATCCCTATTAACAGGCTATGTACCACAGTCTTTTAAGGTAGCTGTAATTAAACCTCTCCTAAAAAAGCCCACCCTGGATCCAGAGGTGTTAGCCAACTATAGACCAATATCTAATCTTCCCTTTATGTCAAAGATCCTTGAGAAAGTAGTCGCAGACCAGCTGTGTGATTTTCTCCAGGATAATAATTTATTTGAGGAATTTCAGTCAGGATTTAGAGTGCATCATAGCACTGAGACAGCTCTAGTTAAAATTACAAATGACCTTCTGATTGCTTCAGACAAAGGACTCGTCTCTGTTCTTGTTTTATTAGATCTTAGTGCGGCGTTTGACACAATTGACCATCAAATTCTACTGCAGAGACTGGATCACTTAATTGGCCTAAAAGGTTCAGCACTAAGCTGGTTTAAATCTTATTTATCTGATCGTTTTCAATTTGTTGACGTTCGTAATGAATCATCCTTACGTACCAAAGTTTGTTTTGGAGTTCCGCAAGGTTCTGTGCTCGGACCAATCCTATTTACTCTATATATGCTTCCTTTAGGTAACATCATTAGAAATCACTCTATAAATTTCCATTGTTATGCGGATGATACACAGTTGTATTTATCGATGAAGCCAGAAGAAAGTAATCAATTAACTAAACTCCATAACTGCCTTAAAGACATAAAAACTTGGATGAGCACCAATTTCCTGATGTTAAATTCAGACAAAACTGAAGTTATTGTTCTTGGCCCCAAACAACTCAGAGACTCTTTATCTGATGACATAGTTTCTCTAGATGGCATTGCTCTGGCCTCTAGCACTACCGTAAGAAACCTCGGAGTAATATTTGATCAAGATTTGTCTTTTAATTCTCATTTAAAACAAACCTCACGGACTGCATTTTTTCATCTGCGTAATATTGCGAAAATTAGGCCTATCCTGACCCGAAAAGATGCAGAAAAATTGGTCCACGCTTTTGTTACCTCAAGGCTGGATTACTGTAACTCTCTATTATCAGGTAGCTCTAGTAAGTCCTTAAAAACTCTCCAGCTAATTCAGAATGCAGCAGCACGTGTACTAACAGGAACTAAGAAACGAGATCATATTTCTCCTGTTTTAGCTTCTCTGCACTGGCTCCCTGTAAAATCCAGAATTGAATTTAAAATCCTACTGTTAACTTATAAAGCTCTAAATGGTCAAGCTCCGTCATATCTTAGAGAGCTCATAGTGCCATATTATCCCACCAGAACACTGCGCTCTGAGAACGCAGGGTTACTCGTGGTCCCTAAAGTCTCCAAAAGTAGATCAGGAGCCAGAGCCTTCAGCTATCAGGCTCCTCTCCTGTGGAATCATCTTCCTTTTACGGTCCAGGAGGCAGACACCGTCTCCACATTTAAGACTAGACTTAAGACTTTCCTTTTTGATAAAGCTTATAGTTAGGGCTGGCTCAGGCTTGCCCTGTACCAGCCCCTAGTTAGGCTGACTTAGGCCTAGTCTGCCAGAGGACTCTCACTCTCTCACTCTCTCTCACTCACTCACTGCATCTTGCTAACTCGGCCATTCTGGATGTCACTAACTGGGCTTCTTCTTCGGAGCCTTTGTGCTCCACTGTCTCTCAGATTAACTCATATCGCAGCGGTGCCTGGATAGCATGACGTGTGTGGTTGTGCTGCTGCCGTGGTCCTGCCAGATGCCTCCTGCTGCTGCTGCTGCTGCTGCCGTCATTAGTCATACTTCTACTGTTATTATACACAACAATTCTGATTATTGTCACACATGAATACTGCCAGATATTAATATATACTTTCAACATATTGTACCACAGTAGCCAGAACTACAACTATAATATTATTACTTTCATTAATGTTGTTGTAAGCCACTGTCATTACCGTCTGTCCTGCATCTCTCTCTCTCTCTCTCTCTCTCTGTCTCTCTTTCTGTCTCATTGTGTCATACGGATTACTGTTAATTTATTATGCTGATCTGTTCTGTACGACATCTATTGCACGTCTGTCCGTCCTGGAAGAGGACGGACAGTTGTTCTTCCTGAGGTTTCTACTGTTTTTTCCCCCGTCAAAGGGTTTGCCCTGTGAGGCAAATTGTGATTTGTGATATTGGGCTTTATAAATAAAATTGACTGATTGAATAAAGCACCTTCACATTACAAATCAGTCATCCTCCAATGCTGTTCAGCTGTTAGGATACGGGTTGCTAACCCAGCACCTGCTAATGTGTGCTCACCTTTCATCTCTGATAACTAAAGATCAAGAAGTTCAGGAAGTTTGTACCAGGTGCTGAAGTCTTCTCCTCCCCAAAACAATTGACCTGGGGTCTTTTTTTTTTTTTAAAAAATGCATAGGATCCAGACAAAAGCCAAAAACGGCATGTGAAAAAAAACATTCGACAATTTCTACAATCAGGTTTCCACCACACCATCTGTGTCACCAATGTCCCATCTCCAAAATGTTCATAAGCATGGGTCAAAGTTTCTTTAATCAAGTCTGTTTTTATAGGTAACTTTTTCATGTGAAATGGCGTATGCCTCTTTCAGGCCTTGTTTTGTGCATATACAATGTTTATAAATGAGACCCCTGGTGATTTAAACAGGTAAAACCACTGAATAAATCATTTTCACATCACAAATCAGTCATCCTCCAAAGCTGTTCTGCTGGTCAAACACAGGTCGCTAGCCCAACACCTTTTAACATGTGATAATGAGTGACCTTTTTCTCTGATAACTTAAGATCCACACGTTCAGGATGTTATAGATATTATTAGCTCATTCTAAAGTCCAGTTCAGACCAAAGATTTGCAACAAGATGAGTTGAAACAGGCAACTACTTGTAATGTGCCATTCTGCAACGTTCTAAAAACCTGCCGGCTCACACCAATGCAACTAGATGAGACCGTGAATCATCTCTATGCGACAACTCTCTGTACTTCTGTTCTGATTTGCAGCTTTTCAGGCTTATTTTTTGCCTCAATATAATTTGTCGCTTCTTAAAATATGAATGAGGATAGTGATAGTGAGATACTGGCTACAGTACATTTTTACGAGCATCAGATGGACTGTATTCATAATACATACGCCACAATAATATTATTTACCAGTGCCAAATAATCAGTCAATGAGAATGTGCGTGAGGGGGCTATAAGAACATACAACGAGCAGCAGCAGTGACCCACCATCCAACACCAACACCATAGAGGACGGAAACAGAGGGCTCGGTGGGGATGATTGGCTGCTGCTGCAATGGGTGATGTGCTTCACGTTCTAAAACCAGCCGCCGGCGATTTGACCTGCGGAGTTGCAGGTG